TCATGTGAACTCAGGTGTTTCAGGGAAAAATCTCATCTTGRCAAAGTATACAGACACTCTGAGAACTTGAGTATAGCATATGTGCCTGAGTAGCTATTCTGTTGCTGTCTGTGCTCCTCTGAAGAGTTCTGCAAAATAAAAGGCATGCATGTTTTATCACTTCCAGGCTGAAACAGGTAACAACTCTCTTAAGACAGGTCATTCTATTGCTGTGTAACAAATGAGTTTAGATTTCTTTTCRTGAAGTTAACTCCCAAAATAAGGTACATGTGGATGAGTTTCTTAGTGAAGAGATCTTTCCATAAATCTGCTAGGGTCACAGACAGTGTACCTGTTTATGGTACAGCTGGTTACAGAAACCCTCTTAGTGTTTCTGAGACTGGAGAAAACTAAATTAACTGGAGATATCTGTGAGTCAGTCAGAATCAGGAAAATAAACACATCCAAGTAAAACATTCCCAGCTGTGGAAAAAACTATCCCCATCTATCAGAAGTATGGTATGTATATGAAGCAGACAGCAATTCTTGTARGAAATAGAACTTGTAAGTGTTGCCCTATTCATTGTCTGGGAACTCAAGCTTTAGTGGGGCCCACAACTCAGTCCTTTAACCATTTTGGGCTTCCAGTGGGTCCAGTTCTTCTATCAGTGGAGAGATTTCTCATCTGGTGAGATACTAGGTGTTCAGTGGTGTGATGCTGATTTTCCAGTGTCATCTGGCTCATGTGCATCCGTGTTACGGATCTGTTCCAGCTCCAGTTCTGTTAGGAGGAATTGGATTGAGCCCGTAATGCTTTGGGAATAAATTGTCAAGTGACATTACATTACAAAGAGCAGGAGACTGAAATAATGAGAGATCACYGGGAGGAGAATAAAGCTGCTAACAGACAGTTGAACATGAATCCTGTTCTTTGCCCTGCTGTGGTATCATTTTCTGACTTGTGTTACGGAACAGATGTCTGGCATAGGATGAGGTGGTCCAGTCCTGAAGCTTTTATTTGGTTATTTCCCAGTCCTAAAGTCAGCAGATTCTTTTGCTATACAATCTCGAGCAAATACCAGATGAGGATGGTTTTAGTCARAAGGCTCATACTGCTTTACCATCATATGCATCTTTTGTTGCAATAAGAAATGTACGTTGTAAATGTTGATATTAAAAACCCAAGTGCTGGAATCCTCAGCAAAATCTCACTTTTTTTGTGTATGTACCAGCAGACTGCAAACAGCCTTTGCAGTCATTCATAYCAACATTCAGAAGATTTCCTACCTTCTGCTGACTTTCTTCTCACCTATATCTTCCACCAGTGGCCCCACCAGAGAAATATCCTAGAATGAAAGCTAGCCATGGTCCAGTGTTTCCTTGTGTTACCAGCATTGATCCCAGCTCAGCATGCCTCTGATTCCACTTATAAACTTAGCTTTTAATAATTTTTCTTAAAATAAGTGAAAAAACAGCCCAAAACAGAAGCCAAACAAACTATTCTTAATAGATTCTGACAACTTTCAGTTAATTGCAGTGTTACTGTAGTCACTCTATACTATATGGGATATATTTAGCACTGTATTTTGCAAAGGTGTTCAAATTGTATTTGTATAGGATATTTGCTTGGGAATGGAGGGATTGCAGGTTATGTTTGTTGTTAAGGTCTAGAAGGCTCATGAGTCTATGGTGGAATTAGCAGAGCAGTGTTTTTGAGCTCTTCTGTGTGACGGGTGTGTTGTGGAACGCTAGRTTAAGGTTGGGGTCAGCATTAGACATCAGAAGAAAACAGGTCAAAGGGCTTCTTTKACTCTTCTGAAGAGTGAAGAAGATTCCTATAGGATGAGAGTGGTATATAGATCATGTTATGCTTTGACTCTGCTCTTTAGGTTTATTAAGGGCCATGTCACAATGAATAGCTGTTTGGATCTAGATATAAACTTAGTATCTGTTCTGGTTCTTGTGTTGTCATGTATCACATTAATACTAGGATTAGGGAAGTGTTGAAGAAGTCAGAGGGGAAAAGAAAGTCAAGATTTAAATGCTTGGTTTATCTGTGTGTTCTACTGGACTCTAGGGCTGCAATGAGCACTGATTCTTGGCATATTTGGTTTATGTTGGTTTTGGTGCAGTTGTTTGTCGATGAGCTCTGGTGGGTGTGTGCAGTGTGGTGATGTGGTGTCATCTCTGCTTTTTTCCTCTTCACACTCTGCAGTGGAGGGCAGTGTGTCTGTAAGGGGATGTCATGTCATCTCCATGCACATAGCCTTCATCAGCCATGGGTCTGCCACAGAGGAATAGGGGCCACTGTTTTTCTGTCTGTATTCTATAGCCTGCAGAGTGATAGCATGCCTTCCTGTTTCAGGATCTTTCTGCTGTTTGAGAATAAAAACCAGTTCAAGAATTGACCTTTCATTATAATGGGGAATTACCTTTAAACTTTTGCAGATGTTAAGCGACAGTATTTTCTGTGATGATACATAAGTGAARTAAGTTTCCTTTGAACTGTTGTACCTTTACTCTCAATTTCCTTTCTCCACCCTTGAGTCATTTTTTCCTGCATACTGTTTGATAGCATGTCATGGGCCATTGAATGAAGACAAAATGGTGATTTAGGAAGGTGGTCAAACTATGGAAAGATGTGCCATAGGATTAATTAATTTTTTCAAGGTAATACATTTCATTTGGTCAAATTTGATAGATGTGGTATTGCTTGGATAGAACAAATCTTTACATCACTGGATAAAATGGGGGGGTTTATAATTTTGCATACCGTTRTCTTGGCTATCTGCTTTGTTTCTTTATGGTGATGCAAAGCAAGAACTTAGGACTTCAATTTTTTGCCTGTGTTCCTTTGTCTTTTAAAACAGTTTTTAATARTAGTTCTCAAGGCTATAATAATTCTAATTATTATAGTTATTATAATTGTAATTTTAGATTGAATAATTTCATACCAGTGACCATATTTCTTGACCAAATCAAGAAATGGGATTGTGGCATTATCTATCACTTTTCTTCTTCAAATCTTATGAAGGTCAAGAGGACAAAAATTGTCAAACAAATTCACTGGACAGGAGGAAAAAAATAATTTTTTAAGTTGTAAAGCTCCTCCCACTTGACTTCTTCAGGTTTTAGTTTTCCAGTGAAGTTGGAGAGGATTCCTCTATGCAGCTTGGGTTGAAAAAGATCAAAACTGGGGTTTAGCAGGTAGTGTGCTATGCAGGAAAAAAGCAGCATCACTAATCTCAGTGCAATAATGTGCATGAGCTGATTTGCTGTGTTTAAATCCTAAAAATACCACCTGCAGATTACAGACAGTACTGGAAGGAGTTAAATGTCCATACCTTGGTGTAAAAAATGCAGTAGCTATTAGGAATGTTGTTTTTTTCTGGTTTGATTCAGGTGCTCACTGAACAAAAGGGACAAGTTTTCAACCCTTCCTTGTGTCCCTTTGAAGGAAATAGCCAAATCTTGTCCTTGTTTGCCCCAGAGAACAAACTGCTGTTACGGCCATTGCATAGGCCTCTTCCCCAGTGCTTGGTTGGAATATTCTGCCCAAAGGCAAGGAATTGGGAATGTTTCCCTCACCAGGTTTCCAGCCCYTCTGTTCATCTCATGGATCTGTGCCTGTTGTGTAGATTTCAACACCAAGCAATGCTCTTTAACACTGACATGTGTGAGCACTTGTATTTCTTCATCTAAGCATCTCATTTTAAATTGCTCTGTTCATTCTTTTAATTTTGAACTGTGACTCAGCAAGCCATGCAGAAATGTGTGTTTAGATTGTAATGGACTTTGGGACATAAGCTGTGAGAGTCTTTGTTGTGGGAGCCTTTGCCAGGTAAAGTGCTTCAGGGAACATCTGGCTGTTTCGGATGCAGAAGCAATTAAGAGCTTTCTGCCTTGCTTTAAAATAAAACCTGTGATGCTGAAAGGACTTTTCCAGTCTAAAATTTATTTTGATCTTGGCAAAATATGTGGTTTCAATAAGGTTAAAATGGATCAAATAGGACAACAGTCACACATCTCTASTCCAGTACAGAGAGTGAGTATTTCGTAGTACAGAAAGAAAAATTAGTCTGTAAAGACAATCCAAGCACAATGACTTAGTAGAGGCTGATTTCAGCAGTCAGGATGTTCRGAAACATCACAATATATTTTTAGGGATATCTGAGGGACTGCTGAACAGATCCTATTCCAAAGCAAACAAGGACYAATATGCAACTCACTTAATAGAAGCCAAAGAGGAATAATTTGTATCTGGCATGCMTGGTGAACCATAGACCAGTTCATGACTGCCTTCTCCTCACAGCTGCACAAGCTTGACTACTTCCCTGCACTAATGAAATTGGGAAATCAGTTTCCATTTTTCGTATATGGATGTAAACAGGCACTCAGTTTTCCATGTGGTTGTGTGTCTTTRACTTTGGGGACAATTTCTCTGAAATTTATATGCAAATCAGCTAAGGCCTTGTATTGCAAACAAGGTGCTGGTGTCACTCTTTGGGTTTCCCTTTGTTTTATCTGAGTTAGTATGCTTGAGAAGATAATGTTGTTYCTGGAGAATGACCACAGTGAAACTGCACTGGTGCAGCTTAGAGGGGTTTGATTATTAGCTACTACATTACTGTAACTTGCATCTTCAGCTCTCTGCATTAATGATAAAATAGTTTTMATTGCTTAAATTTAGCTTTCTGCATCATCCCATGTGCTGGCTAGTTTGAGCTTAAAGTATCTGCTTAAAAATGGGTTTGTTTTAGGGGACAATTGTATGTGTGGTCAGGAATGGGATGAACATCAAGGTGGTTGCCTAAGTTTTCATGGCAGTGAAGACAGGCTCTTAGAAAATATAAGCCCTGTAAAAACAGGTAAGGGCACCCCCACATGTTGACCACAGCAATAAAGGACTCTTTCCGTTGAGAGGAAGGTGTTTTTGTTTTTTTTCACAAAAGTCTCCTGTAAGAAGATAGTAAATTGAGAGTAAATTAACTAAGTACTTTTTTTTTTTTTTTAATTTCCAGCTATTTTTGCAGGAGATACCGTTTATTGGAGAATATAGAATAGTAGGAACAGAAACTGGAGTCATTCACAGTGGTAAGATACCTTTTATCTCTCTTTGCTGATCAGTCGGATAGGAAGGTTCTTTACTTACAGGTCTGGCAGTGAAGGAACAAGAAGCCTGGAACTTTCAGGGGTGCTTTCACTTTAGCAGTGCAGTCTATTTGAACATCTTAGAAGCTGAATTATATGGAAATCAGAGTGTTTTGGGTTAGAAGGGACACAACCAAGATCATGTGGTTCCAACCCCCCTGCCATGGCCAAGGACACCTTCCACTAGACCAGGTTGCTGAGAGCCCCATCCAGCCTGGCTCTGAACACTCCCAGGGATGGGGCAATTTTGTCTCCAGAGTCTATCATTCACCACTCCRGATAAATTTCTCTTCTTTATCTTCTTTCTCTGTGTCAGTAAGTTGACCAGCGTATCTGGTATGGTCATTCTCCTTCTCCTCACCGTCTCTTCATCTTTTGTAATTGAACAACCCTGAAGATGTRGCATGGTTTGCAACTGAAAGTTCTGCTGAGCTGGTATTCTGAAGTCATATCACACTAAGTATAGCCAAAGTGATGTTCAGAGGGTAGTTGGACAGGGTAGCTTTGTAGTAATTAAAAAAAAAAAAGAAAATAGATGCACATATAGACTGCAAAACTGAGAAATGGGGTCTCTGCAATTGCCAMATTTTAGGGGTGGTCTAAACCCTGTGTTTTTTGTCACTTGTTTTGAAGAAAATATTTGGTTGAACATGTCAAGTAATTACTTTAGCTGTTTTGTCTAAAGAAGGCAGTTTCTCTGCATCCAGCATGTTAGAAAACATCAGCTCAGTCTGTTCCAAGCCTGAATCTAAGTGGGCTAATGACCTCATCCTTCTGTGTAATTCTAATGGAGATGACCATTTTTTCCAAATGTCTGTAAGGCTCTCCACTTTCCTTATAATTTAGACATCTGGATTGTGTCCCCTATTAATGGCTTCCTTAGAAATCTTCACTGAATCACTGAATTCCTCAATTTTAAATCTGTAAAATGAGATAATATTCCTGCACTTAAGCATGGGTGTCAGGATGATATATACAATTATGTATTGAAGTTTTTTTTTTAAATGCTCAGGTATTATAATAAATAAATTRAAGGAGAACTCATTTCATTTGCACATTATTCACTTTGTGCACCTTCCATCCTGGTGGAGGCCAGTTATGCTATTTCTTAAGGACTTCCTTTCTGCTTCAGCCTTTTGTGCAGAATTGCTACATGGCAAACTTTCAAAGCTTTTGGTAGTGGAAAGATCACCAGGAGTGGCTGATTAGAATCTATCTGGTAGTTAATAATTCAGCATGCTAAACTCAGCAGTGTTGAGCTGTGTGACTTCCTCAAAGGAAAGAAGAGGAATATACGTGCCCAAAGTGGTTCTTAGRCATCTGTTGATCGCAAGTGGGGCCAAGTACATGATGAAATATTACTCGTCTGGCTCTGAGCTGTATATAGTGCAACCAGTGACTCATTGGGTCAGTTGCTGACCAGAAGTTGAGCTGTCAGAAACAGATGGGCTGCCTAAAGAGCGAGATAATCTCCACCCTTGTCAGCAGTGTTACACAGCATAGGGATTTCTCAGCAGCAGTGAAAGATGSTGTTTTTTCAGCTACACTTGGTCTTCCATATCAAAATGATGTCTTGTGGCTCTGAGAATAAGGAAACTTTATGGCTTATTAGTGAAGGTCCATATTTGTGAATCCTGTACTTGGAGGGGCAGTAGTAGGGAGGTCAGTAAAGTCCTCAGACTTGCAAAGAGATTGTTTTTCAGCTCTGAGAAGCCTTCAGGTTGCTACTAAAAGATGGCTGGTGTGTGAAAATGTTCTTTCTGCAGATGAGGCAAAATTTTTTAATCATCTCTGAAAATCTTTTCTAGTAGTGTCTCTCCACTTCTTTAGTCCTCAGCAGAATCACAATAACAAATGCTTTCTCAGACTGTAGAGTTGGGCTGAGGATTATRCTCAGCTCAGATATTTGGAGGTAAAGTGCTCTACAAGTATCTACAGAAACAGAGTTTTGTAGACATTGAATACTGGGACAAGTTCTAGATCAGAATCTGACAAGAGTGTACACCAATCTGAGATGTGCTTTCAATTTGACTCGTGGTGGGTTCACTCTGGCCAAACAGCCCCACAGCTCCTCACTGCAGCAGCTCTCCACAGTGGCATGGGGAAGAAAATAAGAACAAAAACAAGACAACTCTTGATATAAAAAGCTATTTAATAAGTGAAGAAGAAAGATGGGTCCAGGGGGTGAAAAACAAGCAGAGCAGGGAAGACAGCAYACCAGGTGATGGCAGACTGATACCCAGCCAGTCTCCAAAAAACAGCCAACTTGAAAACAAAAAAATCCTTTTCTTCCTCTGTCCCAGTTTTTATTTTTGAACTTAAGGACATAGAGCATGAAACATCCCTTCGGTCACTGTGAGTCAGCTGTCCCAGCTGTGTCCCATCCCAGCCTCTTGCCCACCCTCACTCTGGCTGTGGGGGTGTAGTGGGAAACAGAGGTGGCCTTGACACTGCAAGCACAGCTCAGCAACAGCCAAAACACTGCTGTGTTGTCAGCACTGTTGTGGCCACAGATCCAAAGCACGGTACCATATGGGTGTTGTGAAGAAAGTTAGCTGCATCTCAGACCCACCCTGACCCCAAATCATACTGCTTTTTTTTTACTCACTTTTTAATGTAGTACTGAAAAAAGATTTATCAGAAGAATGAAATCCTATTGTAAGATCTTAAGAACAGAGTRTTCTTGATTAAAGATGTTTTCTTGTATGTGCAGATGTGAAATTTTCAGTAGAATTATACACATTTCTGAAGCAGTTCAGAAAGACTCTTAAGAATATACTGAAGTTCATTTTTCTCTGAAAAGTGTCTCAAAAATTGTTTCAGGGAAGTCAGCAGCACTTAAGTGCTTATGTGAATAGAGGCTGAATATTCAAGCTGACTCTGTCCTGCAAGAACAATTCTGGAGGAAATGTACCCTGTGCAAATTTCAGACCTATGTCTGAAATGGGTAATTCTCTCATTGCCTAGAGGTGCATCTTGTTACTGTCTGTATAAGTATGTAATTTTGTGCCTTAAAATAATCAACTTCTATGGGTCTTATTTATAAGATTGCACAGATTAAATGCTTTCAAAATTGAAACATTTAGAATTAAAAATTATGTGGTTTTATTATTATTTGATTATTCTAAGAAATGGAAAAACTTAAAAATAAAAGATTTGAAGTAGGAATTAAATCTTAGGTCACTTCTGAAAAAAATCAGAGAATGGCCCTGTTCTTCCCTGCAACACCTTATTTTTGGTTATGTATGCTRCTGTCAGTGAAAAATAAGTGGCAGCTGTGTGATGTAACGAGTTCGGTTAATTCAGATTATAGCTCACGATTACTTTGATCGATATCARAGTCTGAAACTGAAAGGAAGTTGAGCTTTCAGAGAATTTTTGGAGAGAATAATTGAGATTAAAGGAGACTCTCRAGTTCTTAAATTGGTTCTTTATTTTTAAGGTATTTGGTCTGCTCTTATTGATGGCCCTTCTTTATTCCACTTGTTAATATAGAAGAGAGAGAAGCATCTGTYCCTGGTAGTGAAAAGCATCACAAAGGCTTTGGTGAATGTGTAGCAGTGTGACTAGTCTGAATGTAAGAATTCAAGGTTGGCCACCTTCAAACCTCTTTCTGGGTTTGTCATCAATGCTATCGTTCCAGGAGAGAGAGGACATTAYGGAATTTGGCTGGTCATGCAGTAAGCACAGTGAAACTGAGACTTCRTGTCTTCATAAAAAGTTTATGCAATTTCTCATGACTTTTTAACATGGAAGCCCTGACTTGAATGAAACTTGCCTTTATGATGGGCAAGAGTGAGCGTATTCATAAAAAGGCAGCTCACAGGAAAGGCAGAACAGAATTGCCCCCCTCCAGTATGATCTGAAATGGTTAATTATTAGAACAGGTAGTTTTTCTTTGCTGGTGATAACTTCCATTTTTTGTTCCTTCTATAGAGCGGGCACTTGGAGTGGGTTGGAAGAATTATGTATATCTTTGTCTTMAGCAGCAAAGGAGCAAACATGTTCTCTGAAAGCACTAGGATGGAGTGTATATTCTGATAGAGTGGAGAATCAAGGCAGTAATTTGTGCCCTGTCCAAAAGCAGGGTGTATGTGGGGATAAAGTGGCAAAAAGAGTTCTTGTATTTCTTCTCCAACTGCACCGTTGAGGCAGTTTAAAAAGAGCCAATGCATTCTRTATTTGCTGTGTTCTGATTGTGAGCAAGGTGGCTAGTCTGTCCGATCTCAATTGATGAGCAGAAYCCCTGGAAAAACAGTGATAGATAAAGTTCAGGTCTTGGAGCAACTCTACCTGTGTCAATATTATTGGGAACTAAATTGTGTGTTTAAGGAAGACAGCCAAAGGAGCTGAATCTCATGCTGTGTAAATTGCTTCTCATATATGGGTCTTCTTTTTTTCTCTCCTCCATTGTTTGAGAGTCCAAATATTGAGCAGCTATGGAGCCAGGTCTCTTCTGCCAAAGTCCTTGGTTCTGTGATCCAGTGACCAAGTTCTGTTAACCACAGAATCCAGTCACAGCTCACATCTGCTGCCTGCAGAGCCAGCTCTGCTTGTTTTGGTGTGTGGCTAAATTGAGAATTTGTGGCAGCTCTGACTGTGCTTTTGTCTACAGTATGAAATCTGTACAAGTAACTGCCAGAACTACTCTTTATGAATTAAGATAATAAGTATGTGCATGGCTTCATGAAAATACAGTCAGACACTTTGARAAAGACTGGCTGTTCAGGAGTCACCTTTGCCTCTACTTGGTAAGGAATAATGAAGGAAAGGCATGACTGATARAGGGCTTTATGTGATAATAAATGCTGTAGTCAGCTCTTTTGTGTCTGCACAAGCCACAGTAACTTCCTGCTTTGTTAAGCTGAACTTTGCTTATCCCAAYTTTTGCTGTGATTTGGGCTTTCTGGGAAAGGATAACTGGCTAATAGGGGATTCAATTA